GGTTGCAGCCATCATTGTTGTTTGGAGGGCCGGGGCTGGGGATTCAAACCTGCCACCTTAGTTGTATGTGGCTGGTGCCTTAGCTGCTTGAGCCACAGGCGCCGAGCCTTAATCTTTTTGATATGTCTAGGCTATTTGGTTCATGTGCAGGTTTTTCTCAAACTGTCACAAATCTCCAATAAATATTCTGATATGTTTAACAAAGAAATTTCATGTATAAGTGGACACATTTCAAACCTGAGTTTTTCAAGAGTCAACATATACTAATTTTCTTTCTTTTTTTTTTTAAGAGACAGTCTCACTTTGTCGCCCTTGGTAGAGTATTGTGGAGTCACGGCTCACAGCAACTTCCAGCTCTTGGGCTTAGGTGATTCTCTTGCCTCAGCCTCCGGAGTAGCTGGGACCACAGGTGGCCACCACAATGCCCGGCTATTTTTTTGTTGCAGTTTGGCAGGGGTTGGGCTTGAATCCACCACCCTCAGTATACGGGGCCGGTGCCCTACCCACTGAGCCACAGGCACTGCCCAACATGTACTAATTTTCTGAGAAAACTCACAGGAGGAATTTCATAAATTGTGGAATATTCTTTTTTTTTTTTCTTGCAGTGACAAGAGTCTCACTTTATCGTCCTTGGTAGAGTGCTATGGCATCACTTAGCTCACAGCAACCTCCAACTCCTGGGCTTAGGCGATTCTCTTGCCTCAGCCTCCTGAGTATCTGGAACTACAGGCACCTGCCACAACACCTGGCTATTTTTTTGTTGCAGTTTGGCCGGGGCCAGATTCAAGCCCAAGCAACCCACCTCCTCACTTGGTCACCCTCAGTAGAGTACTGTAGCATCATAGCTTACAGCAACCTCAAACTCTTGGGTCTCAAGCAATTCTTTTTCCTCTCTCAAGTAGCTGGGATTACAGGCACCCACCACAACACCTGGCTATTTTTAAAGATGGGGTCTCACTCTTGCTTGAGCAGTTCTTAAATTCCTGAGCTCATGAAATCCTCCCAGAGTGCTGAGATTATAGACTTGAGCCATTGCGCCTGGCCCTACATAATTTTCTTAAATGTGGCTTTGATTACAGCAAAATTAATTCTGCTTTCCAACATGAAAAGGTTCTCCATGGCTTGGCGCCTGTAGCTAAGTGGTCAGGGCGCTGGCCACATACACTGGGGCTGGTGGGTTTGAACGGGGCCCTGGCCTGCTAAATGACAACTGCAACAAAAAAACAGCTGGGTGTTGTGGTGGGCGCTGTAGTCCTAGTTTCTTGGGAGGCTAAGGCAAGAAATTTGCTTAAGCCCAAGAGTTTGAGGTTGCTGTGAGCTATGACGCCACAGCCCTCTACAGAGGGCAACACAGTGAAACTCTTTTTCAAAAAAAAGAAAGAAAAAGATTCCCCACCTCTGACAGAACATCAAACCAATGAACTTAACAGTTATGATCTCAACATTTGATACAGTATTACATAAGTTTGCCAGATGAAATATTTTAAAACATAGAGATATAGTTGTTCATTGACTAGTTTCATATTAGTATTGAGTACATAGGATGCTTGCTTTTCCATTCTTGTGATACTTAGGAAGATGTTCTCCAAATTCTTCCAGGTAAATAAAAAAGATGTAAAGTCTCCATCTTTCTTTATGGCTCAATAGTATTCCACAGTATACATATACCAGAGTTTATTAATCCATTCATGGATTGAGGGGTACTTAGGTTGTTTCAGCATCTTTGTGATTGTGAATTGAGCTGCTATACATATTGGAGTGCAAATGTCCTTATGGTAAAATGATTTCTTCTGGGTAAATACCTAGTAATAGGATTGTGGAATAAATGAAGGTTTTTTTATGCTCTTTGAGGATTCTCCATATTTCTTTCCATAGAGGCTGTATTGGTTTACAATCAGCAGTGTAAAAGTGTTTCCTTCTCTCCATATTCATGGCAGCATCTGCAGCTTTTGGGCTTTGTGATGTGGGCTATTCTTGCTGGGGTTAGGTGATATCTCAAAGTGGTTTTGATTTGCATTTCTCTGATTAGGGACGATGAGCATTTTTTCATGTTTGTTAGCCACTCATCTGTCTTCTTGGGAGAAGGTTCTGTTCATGTCTCTTGCCCAGTGATAAATAGGGTTGTTTGCTCTTTTCTCATTTATTAAGAGTTCTCTGTATATTCTGATCCTTTGTCAGATCAATAACGTGAATATCTTCTCCTATTCTGAAGATTGTCTATTTGCTTTAGCTGTGTAGCTTTTTAGCTTGATCATGTCCCACTTGTTTTTAGTGTTGCTGTAATTGCCCAAGGGGTCCTCTTCATTAAATCTTTTTCCAGGCCAGTATCATCAAAGTTTTTCCCACACTTTCTTCTAGAGTCACACAGGTTGTGCTTCATTCTGCCAGCACCTGAATTGTAACATGAATGTTGTCTACTACGGAAGCCTGTTAGTGATGCAGCTCCCAGGGTTTTTACCAGGGGATGGCCATATACCTATCTTCCAGCATGTACCAAAATCCTAGACTCCTGGAAGGAAAGCAGGTATTCAGCACAAACCACATTGTCACAATGAACCACTCTTATTAGCGAATGGAGGAAACCCACTTGTTAGTTTAAAAGGAAAAGTTTGGCCCCATATACCTCTCTCATGCTCACTGGCCCTCTTCATAGTAGAGATGCTGGTGCCATGCATGCTCTTGAACTTCCTAGACTCTAGAACCATAAACCAGACAAACTTTTGTTCTTTATAAATTATCCAGCCTGTGGCATTTTGTTACAGTAGCAAAAAGATGGACTAAAATGCATCCTCATATGTAAGTTAAGTTTCCAGATACATCAGCCAACAACCAACAATTTAAGCAGATCTTTCCAAGATGTGAAACCCGCTCATTGACAATCAAATAGGAATAATCATCACAGAAATTTTCAGATTTAAGAAGACTCTTCTAATTCAGAAACATGTTGTTTTTTTTTTTCTTTTTGAGACAGTCTCACTCTGTCACTCTGGGTAGAGTGCAGTGGCATCACCATAGCTCACAGCAACCTCAAACTTCTGAGTTCAAGAAATCCTCTTGCCTCAGCTTCCTGAGTAGCTAGGACTATAAGTGCCTGCTACAATGCCCAGCTAGTTTTTCTATTTTTAGTGGAGACGAGTTGCACTCTTGCTTAGTTCTAGGCTAGTCTTGAACTTTTTTTTTCTTAAGTCTCCAGTGCTAGGATTACAGGCATGAGCAACCATGCCTGGCCCAAACATGCATTTTTTATAAAGGCATGATAGAGAATGCTGCTGGAGAAATGGTTCCCCTATGTTAATAAACCATAGTTATATTTGATCTTCAGTAGCTTTACTTAAAAGTGGAATGAAAATACATGAAAGACAAAGATTGGTCTTAAGAACTTGAAATCTTGATACTCCAATAAAAAGAGGATTCTTTTAGTATTGCTAATAGCAAGGCCTATAAAATGCATCACAACTCATTAGAAATGGATTTCATGTGAGGGCGGCACCTGTGGCTCAGTGAGTAGGGCGTGGGTCTCATATACCGAGGCTAGTGGGTTCAAACACAGCCCTGGCCAAAATGCAACAATAACAACAAAAAGAAATGGACTTCATGTGAGTATATATAATTAAGTAAAAATAAAGTTGAAGATCACTTGGCATTAATAGTTTGGGCATGAACTTTAGAAGTAGAAGGTGAAGGAGACGTAATAATATCATGTTTATGAAGAACATTTTCTTCAGCTAATAGTTTGGGGATACATGAGGAAACTTCCTTTTGTTGTTTTCGCCACTTGAGTATATTCTCTGCTAGTTCTTCTGTCTCAGTCACCAAAACATCCATCTTTGCTAAAGCCTGGCTCTGTAAAATATGAAAGAAAGGGAAAACAGGAGAGAAATTATCTGTCATTAATTCATTGACATTATATTACAAATCATTACAATACCAAAAGTTAACACCTGATCTTTATCCAGCCCCTTACTGCGAAAGTGCCTTAAAATTGTTTCTCACACTTTTATACAGCACACATCTCTTTCTGAGTCTATCTCACCTTTGTCTTCAATTTTCACTTCAATATAGATGATCCTCAATCTATATTGCTAAACCTAACCTTCCTAAAATCAGTCCCACATTCAGATCTGTTGGCAATCTCTATCTAGATGTACATCCAATGTCTTACATTTAATTTAACTGCAATTCAACACATAACTATCATACATTTGATCCTACTCACCTTCAAGTCACTCAGGGAAGAAATTTTCATTACCATGGATATATCCCTTGTCCAAATAGTATCTAAGTTCTAGAAATTTGTCTTTCAAAATCTAAAAAGAAAAACCTATACAATCTTTTATATTCCTATGCTTTAAATCTTTTATGGGAATGATTATTCTCCAAGTTTCTGACTTTGGT